GCAGCCTTTTGGTGTGGCCTCTCCCGTTGCAGAGCACAGGCTCCGGACACGCAGGCTCAGCGGCCATGGCTCACGGGCCCAGCCGCTCCGCGGCATGTGGGATCTTCCCGGACCAGGGCACAAACCCGTGTCCCCTGCATCAGCAGGCGGACTCTCAACCACTGCGCCACCAGGGAAGCCCAGCAGCCTTTTCTTTCGTTTTGTTTAAAAAGAAAAAAAAAGTGACGTTTAATCAGAAAGAAGATATATATTTAGCAAGGAAGGTGGAGGGTGACTCAGAAAGAATAGGGTGAGGAAAAAAATGAACGAACAAAACTGTCCACATTAGCCTTTGCCGTTGGGCTGTGAGCTATTCTTATCCTGTCGGTGCAATTAATGAGGGAAAAATAATTCCCAGAAGAAACGTAGCAGGAGGTACCTACCTGCCCCCCATCCCCCTCGGGCCAAGAGGGACAAAAATCTAGAGAAAGTTTCCCCAGTGGAGTTACTGGGAAAGTGACTCCTTGGCCCTGGGTAAAAGCTTCTCTCTTTATCAACCTCAGGGGCAAGTTAATTTAGGGACGAGAGTGTGCAAATGCAGAGGAAGAATCTCTCTCCTCAAATCATTTAAGGCGTATCTGGGGAGGAAATATTTACACACTAGAAACGATGAAAGGACCTCACAAAGCAGTGGGTAATCCGGAGCTGGCTTGTGGGGTTCACAGGTAAGAAACCTGCGAAGGGTAAGCTTTCACTCTGGGGCACCTGGGAAAGACTTCAGGAGAAAGGCGGTCCTGGGTAAACCTTAAAGGAAATACAGCTACAGATGGATGGGGAGGAGGAAAGAATATGGACGCAGGGTCCTGCGTTGGAATAATGGGAACAGAGCAGCCTGATGAGACGGATGGCTTTCAGCTGTGTTGCGGCAATGACCATTGAAAAATTTCTTGAGTTTCTGCCACCTCCAACTAAATGGCAATTACATTTGAATCCACTTTCCATAAAAGTGTTAACTATTGGTTTAGTTTGCATAATCCAAGACAATTCCAACTTTATTTCCTACATTACAGTAGGCTCATCTGAGATTTCAGATACCGCCTAATTTTTGTGTGTATGTGTGAGCTCAGAAATAGAGGTGAGAAATTATGCTAAGAAAGTCACCTTCTCTTAGTTTTAAAAAGGAACCTTAAATCAGTATTTCATCTTTTATTTATAATTTGTATACTCAAGTCCTAATTTGTCTTAGGTACTATTAGCAATGGGTAGGTGCCTTGCAGTAAGTAATAAAAAAACCTTACGTTTTACATTTACAAAGCATTTTTATTCATTATCTCACGTGGGCAGCCATTACTGTTCCAACTTTTCATCCTTCCTGCTAAGGGTTTTCCACAGAGTCGCAGAGCTAACTAACGGAAGAGCCTAAATTCAAGCCCAGGTCTCCTGACTCCCAGCCTACAGCCCTCCTCACCCCTGGGCCACACCACCTGTTTCAACACCAGAAGTATCTATTGTATTGACCAAGGTAGGAAAACAGCAATCCTCCGCGTGGATGAGAACACGGCTAACTGGGGCATCTCAGTCACTGCTGGTGGAAGCACAAATGGATAAGCATTCCCTGGAAAAAAGAGTTTGGCAAAATGTATTAACACTGCTCCTACACTTTGACCCAGTAATTTTACTTCTAGGAATGTATCCTAAGGAATTAATACTTAGGATATGTGGCCAAAGATTTACATAGAAATATGATTACTGGAATGCTACTTATAATATCCAACAATAGGAGAACAGTTAAAAACATTATGATACATTCCGATGATGGAATAGTATCGAAGTCATTAAAAATCTCATTTTTGAAGATTATTGATAGTAAATAAATATTGAGAAAATATTTATGATATAAGACGGAATGAAAAAAATCAGCATGCAGACAGTGTAGCTGAGGAAAAAAAGAATGTACGGAAATATTAACAACACTGAACTGTGGGTGATGAAATTACAAATCATATTTTAAAAATTTTATACTCATTTCTCATGTTCCCTATAGAGAATGTAGTAATTTTATGGTTAGGAAAAGATTACATTTAACTTTTTAAACATGGTAAAAACAGTTAGAGTAAACGCTAAAAATCAATAGTGATTAAGGGATTGAAAAGCATCATCCTACCTAGACTGGTCTCTTAATTGTGTATGTCTCATGTAAAGAGAAAAACAAACCAACAAATGTAGGGCTAATTTGTTATGTTTCCAAGGAGACGATGACGGATTTATAATATAAGATTTGCAATAGAGCATGTGGCAAATGTTTAAAGCTAGAGAAGTTTGGCTCGAAACAGTTGACTCTCTTCCATGAACCAAGCCAGTTTCACTAAATGTGCAGGAGCTGGGCTCTAGGAAGCCTTGCTACAAGAAGTTCTTGAAAGTTCCCCTACCACGTAGTCATTTGGCTTCTTCCTTCACTGTCTTTGGCCCTGGCTTGTTCTGCGGGATCAAGAGAAGCAGACTCATCCACAGCAAGCAAAAACCAGAGATATTTTGGGACTTTCTAGGTAAGAGAGAAAGAAGTAGAGACCCGGAGGGAAAAGCAGCCGAAGGACTCAGGGTTAACATTCCGCTTTTGGAGGAGACTTTAGTCCTTGGAGGGCTTCCAGTCTGAGCCTGGAGAATTCATCAACAGGAAAACAAATAGCTGGCATGCTCTGTATTTACTTTGCCTTTCTCAAGGTTGCAACATAAATTTCCCAACTTTGCAAGCTCTTAAAACTGAGGAGACATTCTGCGAGTTCGGAGCCTTTCCTCCAGTCTGTGTGACCCACGTGGAGCCCCGTTTGGGGAAGATCTAGGCCCCAGCCCCCAGGATGCTGGGAGAGATGGCACAGGCACTGTTGGACTCTCCTGGGGCAGACAGTGTTGGGGGGAATCGAGGGCCGGAGAACCTGAATTCTCCAAATGAGAGCTGCTGGGCTGCTTAGGAAAAAAAAAAATCCACTTATGCCACAGGAGCGAAAGCCCTGAGACCTTCTCGCTGAATTTACGGTAGGCTGGCCGTGCAAAATACCCAGTGGTGTTTTAGTGAAGTGGTGTCCGAGCTGTGATACAGCTGACTCAATTCCTGAAGCAACCCTTTCCCACACCACAGGATTATTTGTGTCCTCACTCCTAACATTTCCAATTAGCAGAGCAGCTAATGCTGAAAACCATCACGTACAACCCAGAAAAATCTGTCAACGTAACATTATAAAAATTGAATGTGTGTCAGAAGTGGATTTAGATTCTTTAGGTTAATATTATTTTTGCTATTAGGTAATGAACTGACATTAATTTACTTGCGCTGTGTGATTAGGTTAATTTACTCCAGAATAATCTTGCATTTTAAAAATTAAAAATGGTGGCTGTATCTTCTTGTTATCAATCAAAGCAGCAGCAGCATTACAGAAACCATTGCCATTTTGTACTCAATTGTGCGCTTATAGGCAGTCAAATAAGCACTAAAAATGACAAATTATCATGCTTGGATAGATCTTCATGTTTAAGTACCTACAAATAACTATCCATTTGTGAATGGCTAAACTTAACTATTTTTCCTATAAGCAAGATAACCTCTTTCATAAATAGAAATCTACAAGTAATACTAGAGCAGTTTAAATCTTATACATAATAATGTCACGGTGTGTGAAAACCAAAATAGGCTGACACACAACAAAAGAAAACTTAAGAGTTCATCCTTTTTTTTGACCTTCACAAATATAAGTGCTCCCTCCATGGCTCTATAAATTGTTTAAATTCTTTAATGATTCAAATGTGCTGATAATGTTCCTGCACTCGCTGGAACTATGGTTCTGTTAATATTTTGAAAATTGCTTTAATTAACCTTATTTCATCTCGTAGTAGTTATAGAACACGTTTATATATTTTAAGTATGCATTAATTTGTTTCATCATTAACCTTGGATTTTACCCTTGGTAATTATGGTAATTTGTAATTTGGGTTGAGTCAGGTGCTAGTGCATTAGAACAATGCATATTGTGGGTCCTGTCAATAGCTTGAGCTTACAGGGGACAGAGTTACAGCATGGAAGGGTAGAAGCAGTGGGGGGCATGTTTCAACAGAAAATCCCCAGGGATGGATTTTATTTGGCCAGTGATTTTGGTGGGGGAGGAGAGATTCTGAATGGCCAAACCTGGGTCAGACATCCCCCTCTGTCTACGCCACTTCCTCCTGAGATCAGAGATAGAATCTGTTATAGACAGAGGGGAAGGAGGAAAATCAGTGGCCAGCCCTAAAACAGTGTCCACCATAATTGTTAGTCAAATTTAGGTTAATATTTAACGTTTTAATATTAACAGCATCTACTGTGTCCCTGCTGATCTGACAACTTTCTCTCCTCTCCTCCTTTTTTTTTTTTTTTTTCTCCTTTCTTTTCTGACACATCCAGACAGCAAGTACTCCCAGCATATGAGTCCTGGATTTTTACATCTGCACCCCCATTTATCACAACTCGCAAAACCCAGGTTTCAACCCTCACTGGTTTTTCTAGAAACCCCAGTGGTGTCCAATTCAAGACACCCTGCCGTGGGCACTGTGAGCCCCAGGGACACCGAGCTCCCTGCCCTTAGGTGCAGAACTCTTGAAGCAGGTAGGCAGCAACAGGAGTGATTTGCAAGTGTTCGCATCTTGTCTCTGGAAGTGCCAAGCGAGGCCAGAAGAGGGTGAGATTCATCTCAGCATAGGGGAACCCAGCTGAAATCACAGGTGCAGCGAGCAACACACTCCTTTCCTGATTTGGCCTGGAGCCTGTGCGGTTAAAATCCTCGGTCCTGCCTTTCTCTCTATTAACATTATCTTCATTTTGCACACATAGTATTCAGTGACAGAAAGCGATATCACAGGAGCCACTGAAGATACTCCTATTAAATATCTTAAGTATAGTGTTTTATAGATGTCCAAATGACGCTATTTGAAGAATCAGTGCTTTCAAAGAGCAGAATTCCTTCTATTTATTCTGATGCCCAACTGTTTTCAAGGTCTTGGTCTACAGTCAGCCCTACTCTTGGAGGAAGATGATTCTGTCCCATGCAGACCATGGAGGAGGCAGGAGTGGGAGGTTATGAAGTGCCCGGCGTGAGCCATTTGAAGACACTCATCCTACTGAAGGTACATCTTACATCTCACGTGGCCGGCACAGCTGAGGGGGCGCCCAGCAGATGGAGGAAAGGTGTCACACGAAAAGGAGACCTGGGTGGGTGAGAGTTTGGGCCAAGTTCTTCCTGGTCCAGGCAACTTTGCTCCTGCATAGAAGGATGCATAGTTGGGGGTGGGTAGGGGCTGCAGTAGGTGAGGGAGGAGCACCACACAATTACAGGACTTTCTCAGATCACGGAAGGACCTTAAAGATCATTTGGTTCAGGAATTCTCTGGAGGTCCAGTGGTTAGGAGTCCGCGCTTCCACTGCAGGGGGCACGGGTTTGATCCCTGGTCTGGGAACTAAGACCCTGCAAGCCGTGGGGTGTGGCCATGCTCTTTTTTTACTGACACCCAGGAAGGTTGTGACAAGTTCATGATCAGAGAATTAGAGCAAGGCCCCCAGGCCCCTGGGTGGGTGAATGGAAGCCTTCACAGATGCCATCATCTTTCCTTGTCTATTATTATGTATTGAAGGTTAACTAACACACAACCCCAAATCAGAGTGGCTTAACACAACAGAAGTTACATCTTGCCTGTGGAATCATTTAAAGTCAGTGTCTGGTGGGTACCTTCCGTGCAGTGATTTAGGGTTGCAAACATCCTTTGTTCCGTGGCTCCCCCATCCCCAAGGACCTCGAAGTTAGTTGTTGGACTGAGACAGGGAGAGATGGGGAGTGAAGGATTGTGTAGGAGATGGGCAGGCCTGGAAGTGGGGTACCTCACTTCTACTCACATTCCACTGGCTGGAAGCCACTTACAAGGCCGCCTTCCTGCAAGGGAAGCTGGGAAATGTAGCCCAGCTGTGTGCCCAGGAGGAAGGTGGGATGGGTCTGGGCAAGCACACAGCACCGTCATTTTCAGGCTTTGGGAGGTTTATGTTGAGCAGCAGAGGGCACGTGATCTTTGCAGGTAGATGGACTTGGGTTTGGATACTGGTTGTGTGTCCTTGGGCAAAGAATTAAACTCTTCCAGCCTCAGTTTACTCAGCTGGGAAATGGGGGCAGCTTGTGGGGTCACTGTGAGGATTAAACGTTAATGGTTGTAAAATGTCTATGTCAACGGTACACTCTCACCTTGATTTTACAAACCATTGGGACTAGATGGAGGGGGGAGGAGGAGGAAACAGACTGACTACATCTTATTTTGACCAACCCTGGGTGCCAGGACTGCCAAGCAGGACCCAGCTGAGTCCAGAAAGCATGTCTCATCAGATGCCAAGAGTGGTGGCATGTTCCTATGTTTTTTGGTAAATTTCAACATAATTCATTCTAATTGACATAGGACTTTGAAAGGAAAATAAAAACAATAACTCACAAGCATCTATTTTATTTGATTAATAAAAATTCAGTCACTTAGCATGTAGGTCCTGCATGAGAATTGTAAGCTCTCATGCTCAGGCTGAGACTGTCACATCTAGAGAGCAATGATTTAACTATTTTCTTTTGAAAAAAATAAATTTCTGGAGAGCAGCGAAAAGAGAAATGGTCCAAAACAGCAGTGTCACCTTTCACTTAGGGATTTTGATGCTCTAAGAACAAATCTGGCTCCCAGGAGGGAAGAGAACTGCTTTCTCACCCTGGATAATGCCCTGGGGGGAGGGACGTGGCTCAAGTCTCATGGCATGCCCAGGGCCGGCAAAATAAGGGCTTAATAAATATTTGTTGATATTGAATTAATAAATGAACGAAAGGTAATAATGAGAACAACCAGTTTGCCTGAAACATCACGATTGGGGGGTAATTCCCTACACTGTAGTTTTGGATACACACACACACACACACACACACACACACACACACACACACGGCAACATTCTACAGGGAGGTAAAGCCAAGAAGCCTGATTGTGTTTTCTTTTTATGGCACTGTCCTTTAAAATAACCTTCCAAGCCCGGTTAGTTAAGATGAGTGGCAATGGCATATTGAAAGTAATAAATAAAACGATGCCCGGGGCTCAGAAGGTTAAAATTTTTTTCAAGAAATTATTTTCCCAAGTCCAAGGGTAAAATGGCGCCTAGAATTACAAAATGTGGTCCTGTAGTGCCCCCTGGTGCCTCTTCTATGGAACTGCCAAAACCTGTAACTGTGCCCGGCTTCAGTTATTAGCCTGATTCTTGATTTGTTTATGAGTCTGGGACTTTGCGGGCCGGGCTTACTTAGACGGGGAGTGGGATACACAGGAGGCTGGGAAAATCCTTTCTTTCAACACTTTTTCAAATGGGTTACTACCACAATGTCAAAATAATTAATACATTAACATCGGTATAAGATTTAAAAACTGAAGCCTTGTGTTATCTTGAAAAAAAGCTCTTTCACCTCCAAAAAATTATTGGCTTTTTTTTATTTGTCAGAAGGTGGATGATTAAGCAGTTTCTTTTGCCTGTTAAGAGGTTCTTTGTAAATCAGTTGGACAGAGGACAGTTTTTAATTTCAGAGATGATCACACATAATAATTGAGCCATTCTCTATGTTTTTCTTGAGACCTATTCATTTAAATAAAAGACATACAGAGCTACTCTATGAAATGAGAATGAAGATTGTGGACAAAGTGTAGAAGACAGTATTTTGCCATTAAAAAAGTGTTGTTGAAATTTATTGCAATAAGGATATTCTTATTCCCAGGAAAGGGAAACCAGTTAAATCACACCTATTTAGCAAGTGAAAATGGTGAAAAGTAATTGTCAAGAATTTGAGGTTATTGGGTATCTATGGATGAATCTGGCTTAACTCTAAATGCTGCAGCCAAAATTACAAATATGATGAAAAACAAAGGACCTTTTCTTCTTCCACTCCCTCCATGAACACAAGTCAGTTTAATTCAGTTTGCAGATAATTTTTTTCTTTTTGGCCGTGCCAAACGGCTTGTGGGATCTTATTTTCCTGACCAGGGATTGAACCCACGCCCTCAGCAGTGAAAGTGTGGAGTCCTAACCCCCGGATGGCCAGGGAATTCCCTCATTTTGCCCATGTTTAATGTGCAGCTCTGGGTGCCAGGTACTGCACTTGGCGGAGGAATAGTGGGGCCCCTGACCTTCGGGAGCTCCAAGCCCAGGAGGGAGGCACACTGGCAATTCCCACCATTCCCAATCTGTGGGATGGATGCTGGGCTAGAGGGGGAGCCTGCAGGCTGAGCCTTGAAGGATGGAGGAATCAGGGAGTGCTTCCCTCGAGGACATGACCTTGGGAGACAAGAATTAGCCAGGGGGGAAAGAGGGTCAAGGGGGTTACAAGAAATAGGCACTGGCCCGGGCAAAGGAGCCAGCATAGCACTTCTGTCTAGCAAGCCTGTGCAAAGGGAAGAGGACCAAGCCTTGAGAGGGTCCCCAGCATGCCGTACTAAACCGAGGCCTGGGATGCTCCAGAGGGTTTGGCAGGAGAGGGACATGAGCAGCCTGGTAGCCCCTGGAGGCTGGGTTGGAGAGGGATCAGCGGAGACGGACAACAGATTTTCAGAGCAATGACAGTGTGGCATCTCCAGCTCTCTCTCCTGGCTTTGTGAATAGTCACCGGAGATCCCTGCAATATGAGGAGGGAGTTCAGGGTAAAGAAAAAAACCAGGAGGTATGGAGTTGTTGTTCCTCATTCAAACCCTAGCTTGGCCCCTGCGAACCTCAGGCAGGTTTCCTGGCTGCTGTCAGCCTCAGTTTTTCTTACCCGTAAATTGGGCACGATAATACCTACTTTACAGGATTGGGATGTGATTGGCAGAGGAGCTGGCACATTGCAGGTGTCCTTTGTAAATGGCACTTAACTTTGATTAAAGTGAAAACGATTCACATCATAAATGCTCCAGACCAAGCCAGGCCCCTGTGTGCTCTCACAGCATCCTGAAACCATCCATTGTGTGTGGTTATGTAATTATATGATTATACCATTAAGGTCTGCTCCTTCTTCTGGCCTGTAAGCCCCATGAGGTCAGGGGCTGTATCTATTTTGTCACCGTGGTTCAGGTGCACCACAGGTGCTAAAAATTGCCATCAACCCAAATCCAGAACACTGACAACACCAAAGGCTGGCAGGATGTGGGGCAGCAGAAACTCTCATCCAATGCTCTTGGGAATGCAAAACGGTAGTCACTTTGGAAGACAGTTTGGCGGCTTTTTATAAAGCTAAACATACTCTTACTACACCATCCAGCAATGCAGTCCTTAGTATTTACCCAAAGAAGTTGAAGTCATGTCCGCACAAAAACCTACACAGGGATGTTTATAGCAGTTTTATCGACAATTGCCAATACTTGGAAGCAATCAAGATTCCCTTCAGTAAGTGAATGGATAAATAAACCGTGGTACATTCAGACAATGGAATATTATCAGTGCTGAAAAGAAATCAGCTATGAGGCCACGAAAAGACATGGATAACCTTAAAGGCACATTGCTAGGTGAAAGAAGCCAATCTGAAAAGAATACGTACTGTATGATGCAAACTATATGACATTCAGGAAAAGTCAAGACTGTGAACACAGTGAAAAGATCAGTTGTTGTCAGGGGTTGGGGATGGCAGTGGGGGACATGAATAGGTGGATCACAGAGGATTTTAGGCAGTGAAACTGCTCTGTCTGTTACTATGATGGTGGACACGTCATTATACTTTTGTCCAAACTCACAGAACATACAACACAAGGAGTGACCCCTAATATAAACTATGGAGGTAGAGTGGTAATGATGTGTCAATACACAGTAGGTTCATCGATCGTAACAAGGCACCACTCTGGTGCAGGATGTTGATAGTGGGAGAGGCTGTCTGGGGGCAGGGAAAATATAGGAAATCTCTGTACCATCCTCTATATTTTGCTGTGAACCTAAAACTACTCTAGAAAAATTGTCTTAAAAAAATAGCCGGCAAACGACGGACAAAGGACAATATCTGGGGACAGTTCTGCCAACATCTCATCTTGCTAGGGTGATGACAAAACTAAAAACTGGTAAAGGAACCCTCCATTTGGGGGGCAATATTTCCCATAGCCCTATGATTCTGGGACTGACAACTTGTTTTGGAAAGTGCAGTTGAATTAGAGGCATCAGCACCCTCATTGTAGCCAAGTGTGAGGACAGAGCAGTGGCTGAGAGGTCTGGCTTCTGGGGCAGGAAGACCTGGCTTGGAGCTCCAATCTCATCACCAACTTCTCCCAGCCTCCATGTACTCATTTGCAGAACGGGGATAACATGCTTTATTAGCAGAATCTTTCTGAGGATTAAATAAGATAAGCCATTTAAAACCCTTAGCACACATTCACCTCTGTTATTATTGATTATTGAATTTACTGACAAAAAAAAAATCTCTGGTTCTGGTTGACTGTCGTGTAATAGCAGTACCCACATTTATTCTCTGCGGTAGAGACAAAGTATCCTATATTCAGCTTCACCTTTCAAAGAAATCTTAAAAACAATAACTCCTCTTGCATCATTAAATTCACATCAAAACTTGTCAGTGTATAGATGAAAGCCGTAGCTAGTTGTAATTAGTCAATGTTTATCATGTGCCCTTTTCAAGTTTCACATAGCATTCTTTGAACATATATTTGTGTGTGTGTATTTTCATGAAATAAAGAAATTAATGCATTTCTCTATGTAGAAATGTAAATATAAAAAATTTTTATACAAACATGAAAACAACAAGAGGCTGGATGAGTTTGATTGCATTCCCATGCCATGTACTGAGTGCTTGATAAATATACTATCCCTATTATTATACTATTTATTTTTGTTTTGGAGTGGGTCCCACCCTGCCCATACATTCATCCCACAAATAAGGACCAAGTGCCCATATGAAAGACACTGGCTAGGCTGGGAGCTCCAGAGAAGAACAATGTCCCTGCCTTCAAAAATCGAAGGCTCTGGAAGAGGAGACAGGGGAGTAAAAAGTTGCCATGGAGGGTGTGAAGTGCTATGGCAGAAATGTGCCCAGCAGGATGTGGAAACTCTGCGCAACAGTTTTACGTGCTCTAAGTGCTTATTGTGGGGAGGCTCCGGTTGGGGGTGAGGATAAAGGCGGGGAGCTATCAGAGAGGGCTTCCTGGAATGTTCTAGGCCTTTGTCTGGAGGACAAAGTGGAGCTGGCCAGGCGATGATGCACCTGGGTTCTCTGCCTATAACTGGGGGATGCTGGTTCCACATTTGCCGCTGAGGTAGTCACGATGGGGATAGATTAAAAAGCACATGCCTGCCTTAAACAGGGCATCAAATGCCACCAGGAGTGACAAGACACAGCTCTGTTTTGCTCAAGTGAGACCAAACCCATATCATTGAAAAATGCCACCATTCCTTTCCCTAAAGCCAGGGCTTATCCCTAAGAGGCATATGGGGCGTGCGCCCCGTGTGTGATGCCAGGCAAGGAGGCGTGCTGTGTCTATTGCTCGGTCATCCCCATGGGCCTGGCTCTCACACCATCCAGAATCCAATTAGGATGACATTTCCATCTACTCGCAATTTGCTAACCAAACAGCGCAGACAAGCTCCCTCCCGCACGTGAGCGGAGATGCAAAGCGATGGGCCTTCCTCTCTCCGCCCACATGAGCACTTGAGTTAATCTGTATCTGGGCCTCGTGACTCAATAAATTATTTTGTGCATTTGCTTTATTGCAGACTAGTGGTTTTAATAAAATTAGTTCTATTCCACATTATTGGTTCATAATTAGAATTGCATGAACAAAACAGATACAGTCTCACCAAGTCTTCTATGGCTGAACAATTGAACTGACTGCACAAATTCTTCCTTTTTTTTTCTCCCCACTCCTCCAGTTTCATTTTCAGAGTGTTTTCAAAGCCGTTAAAAAATAAAGACCTATTTCAAAAAGCTGGGTTTTCCTACAGCTTTTAGGTAGGCTGACTATATAATTTAGCGTCCAAACTGGGACAATTGTGAAAGTGCAAGAGAAGCTGTTAATAATTGAGCCAGGACAAGAGTGTGAGCTAGAACTGCCCCAGGCCAGCTGCCCTGGTGGTTGCCCTACTTTTAGGGATGAGCCGCCCTCCCCAACAGTCATGGGCAATGCTTGCTAGGCAATGCTGCTTTTCCTAATTGTCTTTTTTGAAATGTTAATTTGGGGCAATCATCTCTGTAAATTAAAAATTTCCTCTTGCTATATGGATGGCTATGTTGCAGCTTCAGAACAAATTTGAGAGATTAAGATGACAAGAAGCAAAGTATATATTTGCATCCAGACATATGGATGCTGGGGACTTTCTCTGACATGACCACTGCGAAGGGTGGGGAGAAATCTGAGCTTGCAATTTGTTTTTTTATTCTAAACTTGTGACCTGGACCAGAATATGAAAATATACTCACCTTCACCTAAGGCATAGGGAACTTTGCACAAAGTAGCTTTATAATCTCTCTCCACCCCACAAAAATCAGATCACACAAATGAAAAGTTCACCCTTTGGCTTGAAAATGGAATATACATCAGTAAATATGAGAATGTGTTTTTCTGGGAAATAACTGTCTGTAATATCTGGGTGGCGTCCAGCTATCCTGACCTCGACTCCTGGTTGATTCAAGTGAAACTGGCTGCTTAGCATCCCTGCCTTTAAGGCTGCCACCGGCCATCCGTTATCTACTCTTGGCCGGCCAAGGAATGGTTTTGTGTGTTAAAGTATGAGACTTTCTGCTTTTGGTTTCTCCAATGATCCTGAAACACGTGAACCTGGGGCAGAAAAGTAAAGTACCTTTGGGCCCTTGAAGCAGCAGTGATTTTTCCAAGTGCAAGGACAGCATGTAGGTTATTGTCCTGCCTACTGCCCTGTCACCCAGGTCTGTGTGAAGACCAACCGTGAAAACAACACATAGTATATGGACGTATTTTGCTAACTGTAAAGCACCGGAACAGCGTGAGTTATTATTCTCATTTCATTGTCTGCTGGATGGAGTTGAACTATTTTGGCAGTCACAGAATGAACTGTAGATTTGTATGCAAATCCGTGTACAATAAGTCATGTTTTCACAAGGTTACGCTTCCCTGAAATGTAGTTTACATGTTTCCCTATAACTGTCAAAAGCAACCTACACTTAGCAAGGTGGGCAATGGCTTTAAGTTAAGGCATATATGGAGTCCTGGAGAACTCTAGAGAATAGATGGCTGCCAAGGAAAGAAAGTAAGGAAGAAAAGAAGAAAAAAAAAAAAAAGAAAGAGAGGAAGGAAGGAAGGCAGGCAGGAAGGAGGAATTCAGGTTGGTTTCAAAAGAACAGTTTGCAATTCATCCTAAGTAACGAGGGGCAACCACCCATATGATCAACCAAAGGAAAATCTTGTTAGAATGAGGTCGTATTTTCCCTCAGAACAAGACGATAGAACGTGGCAGTTGAGTCTGCGTTGCACTACCACCTTGCAATGTGTGGGAGAGATTTGATTCCTCTCTACTGTGTGATGGTCTCAGGCACCCAGGCAGACAGGGGCAGGGCAGCACTGCAGAGGGACAGCGGAAGCCCACGAGCTAGAACAGTTGATAAACAAATCTTCATCAATGTACAAATGATCATCTTTATCAAGATCGTTCTCTCTTCTATCTCACAATAAACGTGTCTGTGTTTTGTGTGTGTTTGCGTAGCAGTTGGGCGTATGCTGTTAAGTGAGTGCACGTGTGTGAGTGTGATGGCTTGAGATCTCATCTGGTGTGATGAAGGGAGAAAACGGGGCATGCGGGGCCTGTTCTTTGTTTATTTTGCAGATAAATCTCATTTCTAATCCGGATGCAGAGCAATGTTTTGTGCAAAGGAAAGGAAGCCCTTACACCACCCTGATGACAGCCATATAAATCACAGGCTTTATTCCTCTGCTGTAAGGGGCATTACAGATAGGAGCAACATTGCAGACTCTCTTTGGGTGATGCTTCATTACTTGGCGGAAAATCCCCAGAGCCGAAACATTATTTAAATGTGCTATGAAAATAAATGTGATTTATATGTGTGTTGTCTGCTGAGATGTTCTTGCCTATTACTGCCCATGCTGTTGTGCATCAAGATTAGGGCCTCGATTTATCGCAGTTCAAGCTACACACATGTTCCATGACAGGATGTTGTCTACATCCCCGAAAGTTCCAGGAAGGAGATAATGTTTGCTGAGTGGTGGGTTTCAGATATTCAGAGGTGTCGTTGACTTTTATGGGCCGAGGATGCGTGCGCGTGTACTTGTGTTGAACCTGGACCACATTTGTTTGAAGGGTGCAGGGAACAAACGCTTTGTACTCAGGTGCATCAGTTTCCGACGGCAGCAGAATGGTGTTTCTGGTCAAAAAAGAGAAAGAAGCAAGCACAGTGTCCATTTCGGTCCAGGGCTTAGCCCCACATGTTTAGCTCAAAGTGAGTAGAAGTTTCTGAAAAACAGGTTTGGGCTAATAAATGTCAGCAGGTGTTCAGCCCAAATGGGGTTTGGTGAGCAGGAAGAAGTGCAGTTGGGATGTTTCTGTTACCGAAGAAAGAGATACAGGGTAAGGCTTGTCTTAGACGGTGAAGACAATCCCCCAGGCGCGTAAGCAGAGCCTTGGTGATCACTGCCTTTCCCACTGGGCTTCCACCAACACTCAGAAAACTCGGGGCCATCTGTGACCCCTACCACAAGCCATGGGTGCCATCTCAATGCTCCAGACAGGACAGGAGAGGTGGCAGAGCTGAGACTAGACACCCATCATTGAGCAGGTGACAGGCCCTGCACAAGACAAAACATCCTAAGCTGATCCTCATTACAGCCCTGCCTTTATGCCCATTTTAAAGATGAGGAAACTGAGAGACATAGAGGTAAAAGTCCCTATAGGCCTAGAGGATCCAGGTCTTCTTCCAGAATCTCCCTTCTCTGGACATTCTCTTAACTGATAGCTTTACCAGTCTTGTCTCCAGCTCCCTACCCTCTGTTTTTTAAGATTAAGGGTTCTAAATGATATCCAAAATAGTGAGAACCTACATCAAATCATTTTTAGATTGATATGGGGAAGCAAATAAAGAAACTTACAAATATACTCTTGGGCTTTTTTTTTTTTTTCCCTTTATACTTTATTTGACTGAGTGGTAATCTTGTTTATTTTAAACCTCCCAAACAATGTTTACAGGCTTTTATTTTAAATAAGAGAGTGGGGGGCTTCCCTGGTGGCGCAGTGGTTGAGAGTCCGCCTGCCGATGCAGGAGACACGGGTTCGTGCCCCGGTCTGGGAAGATCCCACATGCCGCGGAGCGGCTGGGCCCGTGAGCCATGGCCGCTGAGCCTGCGCGTCCGGAGACTGTGCTCCGCAACGGGAGAGGCCACAACAGTGAGAGGCCCACGTAGCACCAAAAAAAAAAAAAAAAGAGAGTGGGGAGGTGGGGAGTGGGCTAAATGGGTGAAAGTGGTCAAAAGATATAAACTTCAGTTATAAAAGTCCCAGGGATGTAATGTACAGTGTGGTGACTATAGTTAATAATACCATATTGCATACTTGAAAGTTACTAAGAGTAGATCTTAAAAGTTTTCATCACAAAAAAGTTTGTAACTATGTGTGGTGACGGATGGTAACTAGACTTATTGTGGTGATCATTTGGCAATGTACACAAATATCAAATCATTATGTTGCACACCTGAAACTAATATAATGTTATGCCAATTGTACCTCAGTTAAAAATAAGTAATTTTAAAATTTAAAAAGGCTAAGTGACAGTAACTCTGGGCGGCCTAAATAGGAAGCCTTTTGTTCAAAAAAAACTTACTTTTGAAATAACTTCAGATCTACATTAAAGTTGCAAAGATAGTAACAAGAATTCCTGTAAATTCAGATTCTTCAAATGTTAGTAAGTTACCTCGTTTCCTTTCTCATTGCGTGTGTGTGTCTGTGTCTCTCTCTGTGTTAATTCTTTTCTGAATTGTTTGGAAGTTGTAGACATGCTGCCTTTTATTCCTGAATGCCTCAGTGTGTATTTCCTAAATTCATTTACTTAACCACAGTGCAGGTATTAAATCCAGGATATCAACATTGCTACAGTATTAATATCTGACTTAACAGACCTTTTCCAAATTTCAGTAATTGTCCTACTAATGTCCTTTCTAGAAAAAACTTTTTCACGTACTTTAGGTTTGTGTGAGACGTGTCCCACTTGTGGGGACTTGTGTGAGTTTGCTAAAGTTTTAGGCTATTTAACTAAAAACTCAACATCACTCTTATATATATATATATATATATATATATATATAAAATATACATATAGCATATACATATAGCATATATATACATATTTATATATACAATTCTCCTTCTATGGTTGCAATGAAATGTCCATACTGACAAATTCAAAATCTTTATATCCTTGAACCAAAAAATCAAACCAGATTCTGGATTTCTCTGTGCATTTGCATTTAGTGTGAGTCTCTTTACACATCCGTTTGGTCCCTCTCCGGGGCTGCACCTTTGCCTGTTCAAAAGATTTCTGAAAGTCTCAGCCATGACTTTGCCTCTGAACCCAGAGTGGGTAAAACAAAGGTCTGAAGGGGTTTTTTGGCAAAGTGTGACGAGAAAGGGCAATTAGGTCTGTAAGTGGGTTTCCGTGAAACTCAGTTCCTGGTGAAGTTGTGACCCTGGGGACGTCACACCTTACAGCTGCTGAGAGCAGGTCATCTGGCTCCCGTGATCAAATTGTGTGTCCTAAGACCCAGGGGTAGGCAAGTGACAGAATGAAAAGACAACAACCGTCCAGGATTTAGTGCTACCCACGAGGAAGTTTAGTGAGACACCTTTACAATGCCGGTGTTGACAGACAGGACTAGCGTCTGTTTTATGGGCTATCTACTGAGCTATATCAGGCTTCTCCTGTGGGTAGCAGTTATGTTTCAGCCGACATGATTTGACCTGTGGTTTATCCAAATCGGTGTAATAATAAGCCAGGTTATAAGGGCGTTTACTTTTCCATATATGCTCCAGCGTAGTCAATCTGTTACAAAACCAAGCAAATCAGGGCTTCTGTTTCTCCCTCTGGTACACAGTGAGGGTGTGAGAGTAATCAACTTGTCCCCCTCCAAGACATATCCATCCAGAAAGTTTGTAAAAGCTCTTTATTCCTCGTAGGGAAATGATTTTAGTCTTAGGAAGGAAACACATGGCTTTCTTCTTACAGCTTCAAACTCCGTCTTACCAGCTGTGTTGATTTCCCCCGGCGTGGCACTCATGAAAGGAGACTTTGATGAGCTGTGTGAACGGTCATTCCAGAGGGAGGGATGCAGAAAGACTCGACTTTCTGGAAGGTGCTCATTTGCGAGTATTTCTGTTTTATCTCTAACACACATCCCAGCGAAACATCACTGGCACTGGACGGAAAGCCCACGGGGCCCGATTTACCTGCCAGAATGGCTTTCTTTGAGTTGGAGTCCGCGGAGAAGTGATACAGGGAAGGCAAACCAGCTTTCACGTTCTGATGGCTTGTGTCTCTCCTGCTCCCTGCTGGGCCGGGGACACTTTAAAGCAAATTCCTGCCTTTTTTTGGTTTAAATGTTGTTTTTTTTTTTTTTAAGGTGTTAGCAATCTGTCTTACATTCTCCCACCCCTGCTGGGATTTATGATTCAGTTCGTATTTTACTACACGGTCTTGGCAGGCTCCCCTCGTTGAAATTCAAACCGAAGCAACCTGATGGGGGAACAGACATAAAAATATTAATTTGGTGGATATTAAAAAAAAATCACACTGGTTATACATCAGGGGCTGTCCACTGGTTCCTTTCATCATCTAAATGGTCCTTCTAACCAGACCACAAATCTTACTGGGGAGGAGGAGGGGGCTTGGAAGGTGGGGTTTCCTTCCTGAGGTTTTGGAGACAGCTGACATCCAACACTTCCTCAAACCTGGCTTTGTTTTATTAAAGGTAATAAAAAGTGAGTACTTCTGGTACAGGCAGGCTAATTAGCTGGCCTCACAGAACAGAACAGGCTTAAAAGAATGTTGGTTTGGTCTAAAAGAAATCAGGTTGTGGAAATGTCTACATTTTGATTAAAAATAAGGTTTGGGAGACTCAGGAGACATGTTCTGCTCCTCCAGGGCTGTGGTGGTGGAGAGTGGATGAAGCAGGGCTGGGTGGCAAGGATGGGATGCATGTCCGTATCCTCACCGAGGCTGAGGCAGAGGACGGTGTACCATGTCTCCACTGACCCCTCCCACGCCAGCCCTTGTCTTCTAATAGGGAGCCACATAGATACAGCTGAGGGAGGAAGGGCAGTTACATTCCTGTGGGGTAGAATTAAGAAAAAGTGGCAGGGAATTTCTCTTCCTATAATGAGATTTTAATGGACTCTTCCATTTCCATCTTATGGCTGATCTTTACGGTTAAGAGACTTTTGATAGACACTTTAAAATTTTATGAAAACTCCAGGAACTGGTTTTTAAAAACTGTGGCTGGTTGGAAGGCTAAATACTTCTGTAAGAAGGTGCTGATACCAACTGAATGTGCAAATCTTAGTGCTGGTGCTGAAATCTCTTCAGAATAGTTACCATGATCTTAAAGTTTGTTTCAAAATTTGCAAAGATCAAGTGTCAATCAAAACTGAAGATGAGTGCTTCCCTGGTGGCGCAGTGGTTGAGAGTCCGCCTGCCGATGCAGGGGACGCGGGTTCGTGCCCCGGTCCGGGAGGATCCCACATGCCACGGAGCGTCTGGGCCCGTGAGCCATGGCCGCTGAGCCTGCGCTCCGCAATGGGAGAGGCCACAACAGTGAGAGGCCCGCGTACCGCAAAAAAAAAAAAAAAATGAAGATGAAACTAATGAATGTTGAATCCTCATGCTTTAGGTGTAATTCCTTTTTAGATTAGTTGGTTCTCTGCTATTTTTACTGTACAGTTTCATTTAAATTTCCTACATGCTAACTTCTTTTAGAGATTGAAATAAAATTGCAGTATATATTAGAAAAAAGTGTTGAGTGTAAATCTCATACTAAATGTTCTTA